TCCGCTTGAAAAGCGCACACTGGGTGTATTTGTCCGCCCACCGTAAGGAAATAGCAATTCAATTCAGAAACTCTCGGGCAATGTCTGGAGTCTGTCTGAGGGGCCTCAAAAGGACGATTTATTCTTTCTTGGTCGGCTAGAGAGGTTTCACCTCGAAATCCCGACAGGTTGCGATATTCCATTTGTTCTGTACCGGCGGTGCTTCACGTGACTGTAGTGCACACCCTGGGCCATTAACCCCCTTAGGGCTCGGTGGCCTTTTGGGGACACTTTTTGTCCCCATCTTCTTCACCTGCTTTACCTCGCGAAGAATGGCACGATTGTCTCCTCCTTGGAACTACTCGATCAGGGGGGTGCCAGGGTACACGGGGACGACTCTAGTTTAGAATGGATGCTTTGTAGAGTGGAGGAGTATGAGGGAAATGAACAGGTCGAATCGGGGGGCGATTACGCCGCGGGTTCAACAGCGTCTGTCTACCCTTGGGTAGAAAGCGCTACTAGGGGCAAGCGCGGAAGAAGTACCTAGCCCACCGTTGATAGGAGGCACCGGGCAACCTAGGGCTTGGGTTAGAAGGTCTCGCTTTCCCTCTAGAGAAATATCTTGAAAACCTCCTTTTCGTGCCCCGTTTACCACGCTCCAGCAATTTGCTGTCTATAATCCCTATCAATTGTCCCCTCGATTCGAGGGGACATTTGATAGGGATTATAGACACGAGACGGCTCAAGTGGGAAGGCAGCTTTGCACTTGCACCCAGGGATGGAACTGTCTGCACCATCCAATCAGCAGGCGTCGTTCGCTCTTTTTCTTACATTTCAGACATTTGTCAAGAACGCCGAATTTTCTGTGCGTGGTAAGGGGGTTAACCGGCCTTCCTTAGCATTACCGACGTCCTCGAACGAATGCACATGATGGCGACCTCTATCGCCCTTCAGTAGCTTACAATGCCAAGGGGTTTCCGGAAACCTATTGACCGGACTCCAGTCCACCACAAGTTCCTGCCGCACTTCCAGGACAACACTCAAGCGCCCTCCCTTCCGAACCCATGTTTGATAGCATGCACTATAGTCTATGCCTTCCTGGAGTTTGGCCCGAGGAGCACTAAGTTTCACTTTCGAAATCGTCGATGACACTCCTTCTAGTCTCGAGGAAACTCGCCGAGCGTGCATGTCCTGTAGACTACACTACATAAGCTATCACACCCTGGTCCGATTTGGAAAGCTCTATTTCTCAGCAGCAGAAACGGCCATTGAGCCGAAACGGCGGCATTCAAGCCGTCATACAGACAGCTCTCCGACAACCTTTCGTTACTGTTTCGCGTCCCTTCGTGTTGGAGTAATCGACTTTGCAGATTCTTCCAGGGGTTGTGTTTTAACGCGGTAGGACCGGTTCATCCTTGCATGGGTGTCGGCTGTTGCAATAGCTGTTTTGAGCGCCCCGATATTTTTTTTTTCGTGGTTAATAAAAGCTGTCTCTATAGGGATCGTGATGCACAGGTACGTGCGTGACACAGAAAAAGAACGTATGTGCGGCGATAAACACACACGGGATTGGAGCTCATTTCACCGTCTACACACCAAATTGCAACCTAAAACTGTTGTACAACAAGTAGGATTTTTGCCCGAGCTGTCCCAACTGGTACCTATTCTACGTGCTCGGTGCGTGCAGATAGCTGGGCATCTGTGCTAATACAAACCCAAAATTTACGCGTCCCCGCACAAAAACCCAGGCAAGCGTTTTTTTTGGTGTGCTCAGCAGCTTGGCTAGTTGCTGCTGCTGTACACAGAAACAGGGAACATGGACAAATGGGGCGGGAGACATTCACAAGCCGCCTGGAGAGCGAGGCGGGAAGGCTGCTGCTGTTACATAGCTGTTGGCGAAGGAAGCGACAGGAGAGGAGAAGCGTTGGGTTGTTCTGCGTTTTGTGACTGGCAGCGTTTTTGACATCCGTCAACGAGAGAGAAGACAAGAGGCACATACCAACCTAATGCTAGACACCGCCGTTGATGCTTAATGTACTTGAAAAAACTCTCCCTCTCTATAATGCTGCTGCTGTGTGGTATAAACGAGCCAATGATAACAACGCACAAGCCTACTGCAGGCACTTTTTCACACAAAAAACCTATTCCACCCCACCATCTTCGTAGAAAGTATTCAAGTGCGTGATATCACAGCAAGACTACACCCGTTCCGCCTTTTCGCACCTCCCTCGATCAGGTTAGACCGCGACACGCATGCCTGAACCTAAACGCCGCAAAAATAGGATTCACAGTGCGTATGTAGAGATTCGGCTACCAGGAATCGACCAAGCTGTCGTCGGCACGTAACGCAGCATACATCACGCCAAGAAGCGATTACGACACACCTCATTTCCCTAAAAGAGCACCGCCTGATAGGCCAATGAGCGAGCCGCTCGTTCGTTCTTCCGGCTGCATCTTGTGCGTTGTTTAGGGGCTACACGTCCGCCCCGGCGCCCTACTCCATGTCACATCTCACGAGGCGTCCCCCGCTACAAACCGATACTCATCAACGGTGGAACTGCGCGCGAGACTCAGCAAGCACAAGAGCACAGCAGCAGTGCGGGGGTGCGGCGCATCTCAGTGTCCGTTCGGAGAGCGGGGCAACCACTGCCGTTTCATGGCGTGTGACCTGCACTACGGTACTACAGAACAGTTACGTTTTCTACAGTTTTCACCGCACTTCGCCGGGCAGATGACAGAAGATACCGCATTTGCTGGGTGGTCTTTCGAGGTCTAGATCCACTTGCGGAACCTCGGCCTACCCCAGGGACGGGGGGGGCAGGCCGGGGTGAGTGTGTTCTTCGTGGAAAGTACATTAGCCAAAGGATTCATGGTACGTTATGAAGTACGTTAGCCCCTGTTGAGTCTTTGTGTTCCGATAGTATTGTGTTCCGGTATTGTGGTCGGCTTGTGGCGTTGGTCGAGCGACATGGGTGGTGCTGCGATGCTGCGGTGCAGCGGCGCTAGCCCCACCCTTGCTCACTCCATTTTTCGACCTGTTCTCCCGATCTAAGGTCTCATCAATGCAACATCTTATCCCCAGAAGCCACGAGTTTACCAACACTGCCCACCTCCCGCGAAATGTCGTGTAGTCTTCAATGTACCTTCAGCGAATGTCAGAATCACTCTCCGATCCTCGCCGATTGAGTGGCGTGGCGACCACCCGCATCCGCAGCTCTCCATCAGGGCACTGCTCTAGAGAAACAGCCTCTAACCCTACCCCAACCCGACTCACCGAGAGAGGGGGAGCGGAAGTATGGCGGTGCGAGGTGTAGACTATCTGCTGGGGGTTGGAGGCCACACCTACAGTTAGGGTCTCGCGTGACCCTCTTTTTGGGCCTTTTTTCTGTCACGCGGAGTTACTTTCGTACAAATCCTAATTCCTTCTTAGACCAATCACATTTCACCAATTCAGGCGAACAGACCGCAAAATGATCGGGTATGAGCGTGTTTTTGTTCAATTTTTTTTTGAGTGTGTGTGGGAAAGCGTCTGGCGTCTTGGATTGACTTTATTGGGCCCACAGCAGACATAAAGAGTGTGCGGCACGCTGCTCCGCCCTATTGGACGTGGACCACGCAACCGCGGATCGTCGGCACGATATGGCCGACGACGCCGGTGAGACGCAGGCCCCACCCCCGGCCCCTCCTCAACCAGCCGGCGATGTGGAGAGCGGCGAAAGTCCAATTATTTTCGCGCTCCGCATCGGGTGTCTGCTCCATGTTCTTCATCTCGCTATGAACGCTGGTTTGGAGTGCATCTTTTTCATGGGCCCTCTTGGCAAAGGTTCCTGGCACGAGTGGGAAGACCACCACCTCGTTGCTCTCCTTGGAACTCTTTGGTACAACACAAGCAGGTCCGACTCGTCTTGCATTTCCTGGCGCCGTTTTCAAAACCTCGTTTTCGGCGTCAAGGGCGTTTGGTGGAAGCACAAGTTTATCAGACCCGCGGAGACGCGCTGGATGGTGATTTGGGACGGGGCAGCCGTGCTTGAGGATCGTTGGGAGGAGGTCAGGTGGTTGCATCTAGATTGGGCTGCGGCGAAGATTCTTGGCACGCCCTACATGGATTATTGGTTCAAGTCGGCCTGCATGATGGATGCCCCTCTGATGCGAGTACACGCAAAGTTTTGCGTTGCTCTCAGAAAAGCAGTCCTCAGCTGGGCGTACAACTGGATTCGTGGGGAGGGTGGCTACTTCTTGAAGGGCACCGGCGGCGTGGCGGAGCGTCTTCCCCCTGGGATGCGGTTGGCGGAAGCAGCCGACTTCTCCCTCCTGCTGGTGAAGCGGCTGGAGGAGCTGCGAACGCAACCAGAGAAATATTTTCCAGAGCTGCTGGCGTTCGCCCGGAGCAATCTCAAGGAGGCCGAGGTATGTATGTCGATGCAAAGCGTTCGCAGGTGGTAGTTCAACTTTTTTGTGTGTCCTGCCTGCCGCCGCCCCGGGCAGCTACGACTGCCGCCAAACCTCACGCCCTTCTATTCCCTCCTCTTCTGCTGCCGCCCCTACTGCTGCCGCCTGCTGCAGATGGCGCATTTCATGCAGAACTTCGAAGACGACGAGGGAGAGGGCGGCTTCTTTCGGGAAATGAGCGAGCGCTGGGAAAAATGGATGGAGATGCACCAACATCTTCCGTACAGCGTGGCGAGATTGGCTTGTAGTTCGTTCTATGAAGGGAAGTGGGTGGGTTCGGAGGTGGCGTTTGAACACGCTGTTGGCCAGGAGTTTGCGCGGGCTTTGCTGGTGGCGCTTTGGCCTGACCGGTACGAGAGCGCGGAGTGGAGGGAGTGGGGCGAGGAGAACAACTTTCTCGAAATTTTGGTGGAAGACCTTTTGGATGCCGACACCGACGAGGAGAAAGATAAGCTGACGCTTGGCATGTTTTCAAAGTTAGACGGGTGTGCTGATCTCAGGCAAGAGGTTGAGAAGTATGCCGCCTCTGCGCACGGGAAGAAAGAGGTTGCTAGCGATGGAGTCGATGCTGAAAACCCGGCACCGAGGGTTTCGGGGTTTGATATGCTTTGGCACTTTCCCCTCCTCTATGAATGGGCTTGTCATGCAATTTGTTTGCTCCGATTCATCAACAGCTTGTCGAGAGTGTTTTTTCCAAGTACGACACGTGCACCATGCCGAGCGACTCTAGGGAGATTGATATCGTCCGTCTCGGGCAGTTCCGCTCCGCCCAGTCTAGGAGAATCGAACGATTGAATGCCACCAACCAAGAAATTCGGGATGCGGGAGACAATGCTGTTGCGAAGTCTCTGAAAACGAGTGCCTCTCAAGCAATTCCGAACGAAAGGCAAATCCGAAAACGAGAGCACGACGCCACGAAGTTTTTGAGAGACAAAAGTGAGAAATCGAAGCACGGCAGCAAGTGGGTTATTAGGAGCGTGCTTGAGGATGAGATGTCGTCTGAGGAGTCTGAGTGTGAGCNTTGAGTGTGTGTGGGAAAGCGTCTGGCGTCTTGGATTGACTTTATTGGGCCCACAGCAGACATAAAGAGTGTGCGGCACGCTGCTCCGCCCTATTGGACGTCTGAGGAGTCTGAGTGTGAGAGTGATGGGTCGGATGCGCTGAGTTTTAGCTCGGGGGATGAGGAGAGCGCCGACAGAGAGAAGACTTGATGACATTTTTTTTTCCAAAAACTGCGATTATTGAGTTTTACACACGCAGTAGGAATTGCACCGGCCCCCACTCTTCCCCAACTTGGGTGAGGTTCAAGTGACATGGCGTCGCGAGTGCAGTACCCATAGCTACTTTTGGCGCTGGAACGGTAGCAAACGCTGCTCTAGTGCCCGTGGTAGCGTGCGTGCGCCTTGCACAAGTTGTGATGTATCATGTGCAAAAATTCTCCGCAGGCAAAAAATTGTTCAGCGTGGCGCGCTCGCGTGTGTGTGTGTTTTTGAGTTGTGTACACGCAAAAGGAATTACACCGGCCCCCACCCTTCCCCAACTTGGGTGAGGTTCAAGTGACAATGCGTCGCGAGTGCAGTACCCATAGCTACTTTTGGCGCTGGAACGGTAGCAAACGCTGCTCTAGTGCCCGTGGTAGCGTGCGTGCGCCTTGCACAAGTTGTGATGTATCATGTGCAAAAATTCTCCGCAGGCAAAAAATTGTTCAGCGTGGCGCGCTCGCGTGTGTGTGTGTTTTGGAGTTGTGTACACGCCAAAGGAATTACACCGGCCCCCACCCTTCCCCAACTTGGGTGAGGTTCAAGTGACAATGCGTCGCGAGTGCAGTACCCATAGCTACTTTTGGCGCTGGAACGGTAGCAAACGCTGCTCTAGTGCCCGTGGTAGCGTGCGTGCGCCCTGCACAAGATGTGATGTATCGTGTGCGAAAATCCTCCGCACACCATGAAAAAATCTGAGAGGGGGTGATTTTTTTTAGTATGACAAACAAAACAAATTGCACCGGCCCCCACCCTTCCCCAACTTTTGCGAGGTTCAAGTGACATTGCCTCACGAGTGGCAAACCCACAGCTACTTTTGGCGCTGGAACGGCAGTAAAAGCTGCTCTAGCACCCGCGGTATCGCCATAGCGCGTCGTACGCAAATCAGTTCACGACAAGGCAAAAAAAACTCGAAAACATCAAGTGCGTTGGTGCTCTCACACAAATCATGAGCGCCCTCCACCGCCGCGTCTGGTTTCTCCCCCCACGATCCCAGACGATGCCACCCCGGCAACTCGCCCGCCGCGGGTCGACGGCGTAGGTTGTGCTTCACGCCCACGCCCACGCCCACGCCCACGCCCGCGCCCGCGCCCGCGCCCTCGCGCTTCGGCGTTTCTGCCACCCCTCCTTCCCCCACGCCCCCGTGCTCGGGCGTTTCTGCCTCCCCTCCCTCCCCCTCTGACGCCACGTCCGCGCCCTCTCCCCTCCTGGGCAACCGCTGCTGTAGTGTCTACCCCCCTTAGCTTTTGCTGTAGCTTAGTGACACAACCCCCCTTCGCGGCCGAGACAGAAGCAGTGTTGTCGGAGAGGACGTAAAGTACTTGGTTGCGAGGGTACTTCAAAACGTTCATGATGGTGTCGAAAAAAAGCGTTGCTTGTGTTTCTGCAGTTTTGTCTTTCATGCTGCACATCCGGAGTAGTCCCCACCAAGGCTTGCCGGCAAAGACATCCCAACACGCCACAAAGATGGGAAACTTCTTGTCCCCTTTCCGCAACGACTCGTCGCCCGCGATGAGGGGGCTTTGAGAATCATGGCGATCAGTTCAGCCATGTCCAAATGGGCAATCCCTAGAGCAAGCCGCTTGACCGTCGTGCCGTGAAATTTCATTTTGCCCCCTTCTACATCTAGCTCCATGTCGGTTGCGAGGCGCAACGTGCACATGATCAAGCGACCGACCCGACTCAGAGGAACCCCGCTCTCGAGGTACTCCTTAGCAAGCCTCGCCGCATGCAACCCGTACGACCGCCTCTTACTCTGCTTTGCTCTAGATGCATCCTTCTCCTCCCCCCCCTCCTCGATCGAACCGCTTGCCGCGTCGATGGGCCGCAAACGACCTTGGACCACCTCGAAAATTCCCTTCGGTGCCGGAGAGGGTTCGCGTGCGGCCTTGAGCGCCGCGACGTGTTCCTTCAGAGCAGAAGCCTGCTTTACGATCGTCTCCCTTTGGCGGCTACCCTGTTTCGGCCGAGAGCAGAGCAGCAAGGTGGGAAAAGCAGGAACACATCCAAGTTGAAGATTATGAGACAAGAGAGCTGTGAAAAAAAGCCGTTCAGAGAAAAAAGACCAACCACCAAAAAATATGTAGCTCTCCCTGCCACGACCTATCGCCGTCCTCACCTACCTGTCTTCTCAGGTTGGCGTTGGCCGTAACCAGCTTCCTCATAGTTTGCAGGTCTCTCTCCCTCTGAGCCGCCCTCCTCGCCTCGTTAATGACCTGATGCCGAAGAACCAAGCTCGACCCAACAGCAGGCGCAGCAGCAGCAGGAGCAGGAGGAGGAGCTCGTTCCCGCCGTTTTAGACCAAGCTCCGCCGCCAGCTCGCGATATTTTTTGTCCTGCTCCCGTTTCTCTGAAGTCAAACGAGCCATCTTCTGCTCCAAGAGATCAACCCGCCGCTGCCTCAGCTCCAGCTGCTTCTTCGCCACACGGTTGGCCTCCTCCGCCTTCACCCTGCTCGCGTGTTCGGCGTCCGCTGCATCCTTCGCTAGGTCAATCAGCCGCTGCTTCTCCTCGGCATCTTTTTTTGCTTCCCTCGCTGCTTTCTCCGCACTTCGTTTCGCTGCCATCGCCTTGTTTTTACTTTCACGCGCTACATCAGCAACTTTCTTCGCCTTGGTGAGGCTGAGGCCAAGCGAAGCAACGTCCCCGCGTACCGCGGCGGCTGCGCGCTTGCTGACACCCGACTTCTCTACCATGCTCATCCCAGTTTCTGCCAACATTTTCTCGTTTTGACGGCGCAGCTTGTTTTTGTTTTTTGTCTTCACCGAGCGTGGTTATTTTGACCGTGCCTTAGCCATCGGCACCATTTCTTGTAACCCGTGCTGTGCGGCGTAGGAGTGGTGGATTGTAGTGCGGATTGTTGCGTAGCCTCCGCAGGAGCGAGAGCTGTGTTTTGGTCGTTTTTGTTTTTCGTTATCTCCACACACGTACGAGGCTGCCGGTAAGAAACACCGAAAATCACTTGTTTTTAGAGTGTTTGCTGACTTTTTGATGCCCATTCCGAAAAACATACGACAGAAACATCCGTATGACCTGTTCACATGTCTCCGTGGAACGTCAAGAGTCAGTTCGTTCGTGGGAGCCAGAGATTCGGGATATTCGTTGCAACTCTAATATCAAGTTAAAGCACGTTTTGGCGTAGTCAGATATTTTTGCGGAAGAACTTTGTTTTTGGAAAAACACACAGACAAATCACGAATAATCATGCCACGCGCATACACGAATTCGGGGGGTCATGTGCGTGTCATCGCACCCCCGTGATAGCGTTTTTCTATGGGTTATTTCTCCACAACCAGGGAGGCATCACCTCCGAAAAGGGTAGTTTTGGAAACATCTCGTCTAGGTCTTTCCGGAGAGGGTGTTCGCACCCTCCTAGTTGTGGAGAAATGCGCCATACAAAACGCTAAAACGGGGGGGCGATAACACACACAATTACGGAAAGTACCTCGCCACGAGCGAGATTTTGCGAGAGACGGGCTGCTGTGAACCCACCAACGGCACACTAAGCCAAATAATATGGGAGCAAAGGCTCCCTTCAGTGGCGGCTACTTTCTCCGGGTGGGTTGCTGCTCTGGTAAAGTTCCCTGTCGCCTGGGCTGTGGGGGAAATGGCGCTGGGTCCACAGTAGTAGTGAAGAGAGAACACGCCTTCTCTCATTCTTCCGGCTGGAATGTTGACATCGGCCAATCAGTGCGCCTGGAAAGGCGATCCTGCCCCAGTTGCTCAGGTATCAAGACACCCCGGTCTATCGCTCGAACGTCCGAATCCGAATCAACGCATACCTCCAGGCGGCCAGTTCCAGCCAGCAAATCAAGACGACAAATGAACTGGTTACATACAATGCTCATGCGTGGACTCGTAGAGAAACCAGGCTCGGGTGTCGACTTCGCAGTATGGATATGGATGAGTTTACAACTCGGACTCATCAGGTCTAGATCGCTCGGGAGAGACACCACACACTACAGCTTTTATTTGTTACTCCCGTGCCAAGGCATCTGACAGTCCCGTCATTCGGTTCAATGAGGCACAACGTATTTCGGTTTAAGTCCCTGACCACGCATGAAGATCCAACAGTGCGCGCCACATCCCACTCGCTCACATCGCCAACCGCCACCGAACTCGACTTCACAAAAGAAAAAACAGGTGAGGCAGGTGGTGCGTGAATACATTAGAGAAGCAACTATATAATCGAACGGGGCTCCATCTTGTGCCAGTGGGTCGACGGTACTATTGCTGGAAGTGTGAAATTGACTGCAAGCAGTATAGTTTAGGTGGATAACTCCAGCGAACCCTACCAACAATCTTGCCGACGGCTGTGAGCGGAGTCGCCTTTTAAGCGAGAACGAACTACTGTATGAACATGTACATCCAAGCCATCAATCTGGTGTTCCGCGTTTCAAGAGCCTTTTCAAAGAGTGGAAAGACGAGCGCCATCAACACACGTATGATATGACCTATGGTGCGTTGGCGTTGGACTGCCCGTTGCAGCTGAGGCGCTGCTGAGACGAATAGCCGTTGATTTCTGGGAAATCCCGTCGAAGCATAGACTTGAGTCGCCGGCATTCGGCAGGAAGTCTGAAGTCTCGTTGCCCCGTGTTCCGATTGTCGGAAGAACAGACCGACACGAGCAAACCAACATTCATTGTCATGGATCTACTAAACTTTCATGCGCACCCCGCACCTGCGGGTTCGAGGGATCCCTCACAACTGATTGTCAGGGTGAAACCCGGGTGACGAAGCAACCATCCGGCTGCGAATGACCAGAACGAGTTGATATTTGTGATGTGTCTCTTCCCGACCCCCGGCCCGAACTTGAATTGCCAGGTTCAAAGAATCATGACACGCGTATACTCGTCGTCGTGGGGCAAGCTCCTCGTGATGGCCATGCTCCTCACTTCCGTGGCAGGTGGTGAGTGAAAATGGTTGCGTGAGGCTTCTGTGCAGTGTCACGCGGCATTCCATTTCATACCTTGCGGGACGAGAGGATGCAGACCTCACCTATATATTTACTAGATCGGGAGGTGGAATAGTTTTTTGTGGTGGTTGCACAAAAGTACCTGCAGTAGGCTCGTGCGTCTGTTACAGAAGAACGGGGGGCGGTCCATCATCACCAGCTAGAGAGGGGGGTGGTATCCATCATCACTCGCTAGAGGGGGGGTGGTGTCCATCATTAGCTAGCGAGGGGGGTGGTATCCATCGTCAGCCGTGAGGGGGGGGTGCTAT